CTTCATATGAGTCAGGCTCAGAGTCCAAGTCCATACCTGCCACCGTATCACATCAGCAACTGCCCCCCACCCCATCCCACAGATACACAGGGTTAATTGTCCCTAACAAAGCTGCCAACTGATTGCTATCAGCCGGCAGGAGAGCAAGCGGAGCCAGACCTGAGACCGCAGACAGACAAATCGCCAGGTTTTCTGACAGTTCTTCCCCTTCTCTATGTAGCCTCAAGGCCTCCTGACACACCCCACCTGTCCTGGAGCCAGACGGGACTCACCATTCCTCCCTACTCATACCAGCCCCACTGCAGGAGGGGCAAAAAAAAAAAAAATCTAATAAACTAACAATCATCCAGTTGGCCCTAGTAAAGGATTTTAGACACCCCATAAATGCTCTCACAGCAAAGGGCCAACTGGTGCTGGGCCCCTGGAGTGCTGCCTTCAGAGTTTCAGCCAGGGGTCCATGCCATGCATGCACGGGAGATGGCAAGCAAGCTGGCAGCAGAGGCCACCCCAAGAAGGCACTTGAGGAGCCCAGAGCATGAAGGGGCAGCTCTGCAGATTGCAGGGGGGCTGTTTGTGGAGCACCTGCGGGATCCTGTGAGCAGACAGGAGCAGGTCCCAGGAAGAGCCCGGGCCACACATGGACTCTCCGTACATTCTGTCCACTCGCTCCACTCTCCACTGTCATTAGATCCACAGAAACACGCTTTCTGCTGGGGTACTTGGTGGCGGGTTCCTAGTAGGCAACGGTAGTTAAGAGGCCTGGGGAACTCACTCTGGCTCTGGTGAATTCTCTCGCCCTCCCGCGCTTCTGACTGTACCCAGTGCATGTATAAACAAACAAACAAACAAATAAAACATGCCTCTATTTAAAAAAAAAAAAAAAGAGGCCTGGGGAACTGAGGGGGCTCCGGTGACGGCCCCCACTGAGCTCTCCTTGCACCTGAGTCAGCAAACAGCTTTCAGACACTCAACCCACCTGACTGTGGAAACTGAGCTTCCCAGCCCTACCTGGGTGGTGGGGCTGGGATTTCACCAGCTCTGCAAGATTGGGGCTTCACTCGTGTCACTGTGCTGTCTACTGCCCCCAGTCCAGCCACGGGGGGGCCATCAAGAAGGCTCTTAATTCTTTGAAAAATGTATCTAAAAATGTGTGAGAACATTCACATGTAAAGAAGGCAGCTGTGGCCCTCCCTGGTGGCGCAATGCTGTGAAGCTGTCCGCAGCCTCTGCAGTGCCGGTTCCATCCCCGCCGGCCTTGGAGCAACCCACATGGTGCAGCAGACCTCTCCTGTCTCGCCCGCTGCTCCCCTCAGCAGTGTATTTCGTCAGTCTGCCTGTTCTGTTCCCCGCTCTGACTCTGGTGAATTCTCTCACCCTCCCGTGCGTCTGGCCTGTACCCCGGCTCTTGTATAAATTAAAAAAAAAAAAAAAAAAAAAAGGCAGCTGCTCTTCTGTTTAGAGGGTGAGTAGAAGAACCTGTGCGTGCTCTTGCCACGTTGCCAGGACGCCACAGGACTAGGGGAGACACAGGCTCTTTACCTGTGACCCCATTTAAGGCAGAAAAGTCCTTCCTTTGAGCTCTGTCTCACACGGAAGGAAAACTAGGAACGGTGCTGCCTGAAGTTTGACCAGAAACCACTCACTTTCACAGGTGGGACACTGAAGTCCACAGAGGGACGGCAGCTCCGCTCCCCTGGAGCAGCAGCTTGGAGCAACGTGTGGAAGAGGAGTCCGAAGGGGCAGAAGAAACACTCCTTGACAGCTGACGGACAAAGCCAGCCCTGGCCTGACAGGGAAGAAGGCAGACCTCTCCGTTCCTGCTCAGCTTAGTCTCCACCTCCTCACAGGGACTTGGTGCAAACCAGAACAAGGTGCGCTCTCCAAGCAGCACACACCTTGACAAGCAGCAGATGGGCTGAGCAGGCCCCCACTCACCGGTACTGCTGTTCAGGGGCAGACTTACTTGACTGTGCAAGGCAGGCCTGGGGTAGCAGCCACAAATGAGAACTCCAATTTTTCTTCAATCCTTTAACTACTGGTTTGCCAGCTGGTGATCGTAAGGATATTTCTTGATACCAATAGAGGTCATAAGCCATCAACCCCACTTCCATGCAAGGACATCAGTTCTCAAAACGCAGAAGGCAAGCAGGAAGGTACATATACAAGGACAGACATCCGTGCTCCAAAATCACAGACAAGAGTCCTACTGTTCCCACCATACCCAGAGTCCCACCATACCCAAAGTCTCAGGAGGCAGAGGGGGCTGAAGAATATCCAACCAAGGAAGTTCCAGGTTTTCCACATCACTCAGGGCTTGACAAGCTTCTTCACAGGTGTTCACACAAACAACCTCCCTAGACCAGCTTCTCATTCTAGATTTTCAATCCCAGTAATGGGTACCCAACTCCCCAAATTAGAAAGTACCCTGGGTGACCCCTGAATCCTTCCCTTGCCCCATCTAGAAGCCACCTACAGCCCCACTCTGCACATCTCTCACCCCTTCCTCTGCATCCCCACTGTTACCATCTTGGTTCAAACAAATTTCCCAGTTGGTTTCTAGTTTCATGCCTTCCTCCAGCATGTTTTTACAGACATCCCAAAACCTTCCACAGCCTTGCAGCCTTCAGAATCACACCCAGCCTCCATTAAACCTGCCCCAAGTTGGCCCTGTCCATCAGCCTCAGCCACACACTTCAGTTAGGCCAAACCACAAGATGCTCCCTCATCTCCTGGCCATGCCACACCTCCACGTGGCAGTCCATGCGTCCCTCTGCTTGGAATGTCCTCTGCAGCACGACCTGCCTCAATCCAAAGCATTATCTAGGCATGGCCTCTGAACTGGCTAGTTTAGAGTCTGGAGAAGGCCAGGTCTTCCCAGGAAGCTGTGGTCTGGGTATGGAAACCAGGGAGAGTACTCTTCATCCAGGCCTCTGATTGGACCCCATTCAGATTCCAGTCTCCAGCTTCCCAGAAACCTCTATGGCAACTACCTGCTATGCATCTGCCTCCTGCCCCAGGCTGCCCTTTTGGTAGGACAGACACCATCACCTCCCTCTGTGTGTCCCCATACTCAGTCAGGTCAGCCTGGAGCGTGGTATATTTTCGAGGGTGAAAACCCAGAGGAACTTTGTGTTCTGTCTTACCCATCAGACTGAGTGCCCTGTTGCCAGGTTCCATGTTTCTTCTGGAATCCCCTTGCCCAAGAGCAGCCAGAATAGCTTGCGATGCTTTTACCCATTTCAGACACTTTGCCTTTGCATATAGCTGGTCTAGAGGCCTTGCTACCACAGGACAGGGAAAAAGGACTGTCATGTGGAAGCTGCACACGCCCACCTCATGGGCTGAGGCTGCCATGAAGGTCTGAGCAGAGGTCTGACAGGCAAGGAATGATGACAGGTCAAAGCCTGCTCTGGGCCCACACTTTTCAGGATCACAGACCCCCCGCGGAATAACCAGGATGATCAAGGTCTAGGAGAGACAGATCACAAACACCGTCCCCATGGCTACTACCCTAGGAAAATGGTCAGTGTGCTTTTTTACTGTGCACCCTTAGCAGGAAAACTCTTTGGCTTCTTCATCTCCAATATAAACCTAGTTACAAAGCTTTGCTGGCAATTTATGTGTTAAATATTAGTGTTATGGGTTGAACTGTACCCCCAGCCCTGAGTTCATATGTTAAAGTCCTAAGCCCCCAGAAGCCCAGAATGTGACTATATTTGGAAATAGGGTCTCTAAAGAGGGGATTAAGCTAAAATGAGGCCCTAATCCAGTCTGAGTGGTGACCTTATTACAGGAGGGAAACTGAACACAGAGAGGAAGACAGCTACCTACACGCTAAGGAGAGAAGCTTCAGAAGAAACCGCCCATGTTGACAGCTGATCTTGATAAATTTCCATGGACGCTGCCCAGTCTGCAGGAATTTGTTATGGCTGCCCTAGCAAATAACATAGTAAGGCCTCGTTCCTCCCTCTCCTTCTCTCTTTAAAGACAAAAATAAATGTAAATAGGCCCTTCTAATATTTTCTTCTCACACTCCATTTTTGAGACAGCCATGGCCCAGTGTGAGGAACCCCGGGTCTGCTGGATTTGAGAGACTGGCCTCGGGCAAGAGAAGATGAAAGGCCTGATGGCCTCTGGGCTTCTCCTGTCCTGAGTCTTGCGTATCTAGAAGAATCAGAGAAGCGGGAGAGCCCAGCACCCAGAGGCGTAGGTGTGCACAGAGCAAGTCTTGAAAACTGAAAGCTCCTCTTTCCGGTATTTCCCAAACTCACCCAATCCTAGGAGTCACCCAGGGTGCCTCTGCACCACCTGGGGGCTGTGAGGTGGGGCCCAGAACTTGTTTATGGTAAGTGGGCCAGGTGAGGCTCAGGACTGGATGAGTTTGTGAAACCACGGTGCAGGCCCTTCCACTCGGTTTGTAGCTTTAGGTTGTGCGTGCCTCTGGGCGTGTGCGCGCCCCTACCGGGAGCGCAAGGGAGAGGCAGGGGTAACCCAGGGCTGTGAGCCCCTCAATGCCACCCCACACTCCCATCCCCCGCCCGGGGCGGTCCTCCGTCGGGGTCTCTCCCACAGCAAGTCTGCAGGTCTCTCCCGGCCGCGCTGGCCTGAGGTGAGCCCTGCGCTCGCTCTTTGAATCAACAGGCGGGTGGAAAAACTGCCTTCTCCTTCCCTCCCAAGAAACTCTGCAGAGTCCCAGACGCCCTTGTTTTTCTCCTGGGTGTGGTTCGCCGTGAATTTTCTCCCAGGCTCTGGCTCTTAAGTGAAACCCAGTTCCGGGCTTCCCGCGCGGGCGGGTCAGGCACGGGAGTGAGGCTGGGGGGCGGCCCGTCGAGGGTGCGGACGGCCCCCCGGACCCGGGCAGCCGGCGTAGTGGGTGCAGGGTTCCGCCCGCCTCCTTGAGCTCTGCGCGCCCCAAATCACACCCCCCTGCTGACCGCAGCTCCCTTCCGAAACTCCACAAGCACCAGCCCCACCTCCGACGCCCGCCCGGCTCGGCTCACCCAGGCGGGCAGGTGCTGGCCTCGCAGCTCGCGGCTGATGAACTGGCGTTCGTTGTCCAGGAATTCGAAGGCGGCCGCCAGGCGCCCGAGCTTCCCACGGCGGTTCCCGCGCCACCACATCCACAGCAGGGCGCCGAGCAGCAGCCAGATTATGCTGAGTCCCAGGTAGCCCGCGAGGTAGACGGGCGCCAGGTAGAACAGCGCGCGCATCACGAAGGTGTAGAGCTGGGGCAACAGCTGGCCCGACAGGCGCGGCTCGGAAGCGGGGACGCGCTGGGTTCCCGGGGCGCCAGGGGCGCAGGGCTCCTCCGCTTGCATCTTGTCGCCGCCGACTTGTCTCTCCCGAGAGCTTCACCTGAGCCCAGATCCCGGCGCCTCGACGCCCAGGCACAGCCGTTCCACAAGCACGAGGACGGGGCCGCCGCGCCGCTCCCGCCCCAGGAGTCCTCAGCTCCGGGCCGCGCGGGGCGCTCGGCGCTGCACCAGCGCGCGAGGTGCGGAGCCTCGGAACGCACCGCACCAGCCGCGCGCCCGCGCTCCGCGGCCCACCCACGCCCGGCGCCCGCCGTCTCCACCCCCGGGGGCGGGCCTGGGGGGAAGGGGCGGGGCCGGGCCCTGGGCCAGGTGTCCCGGGCTGGGAAGAGGAACCAGCTGGCCAGGGCACCATCGGATCTCCAGGTCCTGCGCAGGCGTCAGAGGAGGGCGCAGTCTCACGCATTGGTAGAGCTCAGGGTGGACTGGGTGATGCCCCAGGCGGTTTATGACTCACCGAGACATGTGGGCAAATGATTTGTCATGGATAAAAGTCACCTAAAACCTGCTTCCTGCAGTCTACAATATACAGTCTAGTTTAGACTGCTGGATTGACTCAGCCGGCCCACCCCAGCTCAGGTGGGCCTGGCCTTGGTCTGAGGCCGCCAGCAGGCCCCTAGAGTCCTGCATTGCAGCCTTCTCCTCCGGCATCCCTAAAGCTCAGACCTGGCCATCAATCCCACCTGGTGGAACTCAGGGCTCCTCCTGTACCCCACAATACTACTCCCGCACTACCACCCTATACGAGGTTGTCACTTTGGATCTTCATTCCTTGCCTAGGTGAGCCTAGCTGAGCGGGGTGGGCGTTGGAGGTGGGGCTGGTGCTTGTGGAGGTTCGGAAGGGAGCTGGGGTCAGCGGAGGGGGGTGCTGGGTGGGTTGGGGTGCGTAGATCTCAAGGAGGCGGTCGGAACCTTGCATCCGCTATGCCGAGACTGGGAGTTTTCTGGGGCGCTCAGCAAAAGAAGTGTTGGGTGAATGACAAGAGAAATGAAGAGCAAGCCCTGGGTGATGGGGTCAGTTGTGAAGCCTCTGGTTTCTATTTAACCCTTTTTAGTGTGTGGGACCCTCGCCGGTGGCGGGGGGAACGAACCGGCCTCGCAACCCAGCGCTCAACCGCTGCGCCACCAGGGGAGGCCCTCTATTTAACCCTTTTTGAATGATCAGAGCAGGTGGAGGTCTGGATCTCTGACTTCAAGCAGTCAGTCATCTAATGGATGGTATCATTTTCCGGTTCTCACATGAGTCAGCACATCGATTATCAAAATGTGGTGTTGGACTTGACAAATGTGTAGGGTGATTCTGAATGATTCTATGATCTTTCAGTGGCTGTACTGGAAGGCTGGACTCTATGGGCAGCAAGCAGAAGACAGCTGTGTTTGCTTTTATTCCATCCCTTCAGATCTTTTTCTTGACTTTTATCTTCTCTCCCCTCATAGATCAATGTGTTCACTGCATTGAGTTTTTCAACTACAGGTGTGTTCAGGGCCTGAATGCTTGTAGCCTCTTCTGTCCTTGAGCGGCTAGGACTCAGCCAAATCCAAAACCCTCTCACTTTAACACCCTGTTACACTGATATCTCCCAATGGAGCCTGTCAAATCAATGCAGGAAATGTGACTTCCTTGAGTTCCTTTTTGTATGTTGTAAGGAAAATGGAGTAACTCAGGCTCTTTTTCACCTCCTGCCTGCTTGCCTCGACAAAAGCCAACTGCGGCTTTGTTTTCCTCCTAGGTTTCATCACCCACATGTGATATAGTATTGTCGCAAAAAAGTGCTAGAGAGCATGAGCACAGGGCACAAGCACCTGTGATTATGGACCCCCAGCTGAGAAGCTTGAGAGCAGGAGGCCCCCACAGCATAAACGCAGACACCTGGGCTGAAAAGGAGAGTGGGGACAGAAAAGAGAAGCCAGAGAGAAGTCAAAGAAAGCACGGAGACTGGAGATCTCGAGGGCTGGGAGGCTCAGTTGCTGCCTGCCTCCGAGCTTCCCAGCTTCCCAGCCTCCCTGCCTCCCTCCGGACCCATTGGCCTACCTGTGTACCCTGCTCCTGTTTGAACGTTAAAAGCCTGTCAAATCTATAGAGAGTTCCAAGATTCCTTTTCCGTTTACTTGATCAACAATGAACGTGCCCATCCTGCACCTGGTTGCCTGTGCAGGTGTACGCAATCCTATTAAAGACTGAATAGTCCCACAGATAAAATACTGTTAGTTAAAAAAAAAAATGTTTCCCAAATTATTTGCCCACAAAACCTCGTTCCTCAAAAAACACTTCTTATTGGCTGACTCAGCTCAGTTGAAACTAAAGAAATGAAGATGGGGGCCTCCCCTGGTGGCGCAATGGTTAAGCTCTGGGCTGCGAGGCTGCCCGCAGCCTCTGCAGCACCGGTTCGTTCCCCGGCCGCCGGTGAGGGTCCCCAAAAAAATAAAATAAAGAAATGAAGATGTACAACAGGGGTAGAGGGAGTCTCCTGGAAGCTGAGAAGGAAGGTCGCTGCTCTCGGGATGGATGGAAAAGGAAGTGAACTGACAGGACTTGGCTTTGCACCTCTGCTTCTCTCCCTCTGCCTCTGCCTCTGCCTGAAGTGAGCACAGCCCCTTTCCCACAGCTTCCAGGGTCACAGAACTTCCCAGAGAGACTGCTTGACCCCTACGCTGTCCCCATCCTGAATATCTCCCCTCCCCTCCTCTCCCCTGCCCTCCTTTCCCCTCCTTCTCCACACATCCTCCTCCTGGTGTGGTTGGGAAGAGGATGTGGATTGTGGAGGGGGTGAAAGGAAGTGTGTTTGGGGAAAGAGTATCAGAGAAAGGTTGTTGGTTTGGTTGCTAGATGGACACCCACAAAAATGTCAGACATGAGATCTGGAACATTCTGTAAATTGCTACCTCCTCCCCGCCCCCAGCTTCACTACCTTTCCTGCTCCTTGAACACATCAAGCTCATTCATTCCCCAAGGATTTTGTACTTGCTGGTCCATCTCCTTGGTATGTCCCCCTTCAAGATTTTCTCCAAAGTACATTCGGGATTGTGGTTGATTTTCTTTCCTTCCTTTTCTAGACTTCATTTCATTTACTTAGATAAAATTACCCTCATAAATTAAATATATGAGAATATTGAGAATATGGCATCTAAAACTTCATCCCTACCTAAGGTTGAATCTGTGCTTGAACATTGGAGCCATTCTTTTTCTTGACCTGGACTTCCTATTTTATTACTGCTGCCAGCAAAAAATCATTTCATGGACTGTTTGAGCATAGCAAAGCCTAAGGAGAATGATGTCTTTCAGAGCCTTTGACTGAACTCATATGGGACTTGTTCATATTATATGCCAGGTTTCAGAAAACACTGGTTCATTTGTTCCAAATATTTATTGACGATTCTTGTGAGTTGAATTGTGTCCTTCCCAACCCCACAAAAGCTGTCTAGTCCTAACACCTGATGTCTGTGCATGTGACCTTGTTTGGAAACAGGTCTTTGCAGATGTCATCAAAAAGAGATCTCGCTGGATTAAGGTGGGCCCTAATTCAATGATCGGGGTCCTTATAAAATGAGAGATTTGGAGGGCCTCCCTGGTAGCACAGGCAGTTGAGCGCAGCGCTGTGAAGCTGTCAGCAGCCTCTGCAGTGCTGATATGATCCCGGCCGGCCAGGGAGAAACCCACATGGTGAGAAGACCTCTCCTGTCTCGCCCGCTGCTCCCCTCGGCAGTGTATTTTGTCAGTCTACTGTTCTGTTCCCTGCCCTGTCTCTGGTGAATCCTCTCACCCTCCTGCACATCTGGCCTATACCCCGGCTCTTGTATAAATAAAAATAAATCTTTAAAAATAAAAAAAATTACAGATTTGGAGACAGATTTACAAAGGGCAGAAAAGCATGTGGAGTCAGAAGTTACACAGCTCTAAGCCAAAGATTGCTGGTAACTGTCAGAGCCAGGAAGAGACAAGAAGTTTTCTTCCTGAGAGCTTGCAGAGAGCTTGGTCCTGCCAACACCTTGATATCAAACTGCTAGTCCCCCAGATGGTGAAAGAATATATTTCTGTTGTTTTAAGCTACCCAGTTGCATGCCTTTGTCATGGGCAGTCCTTGGAAACTAATATGGCCACCTAAGTGCCAGGCACTGTTTTAGGCACAGGAGTGAATAGAATAGAAGGGACCCTTGCTGTCATAGAGCTGACTTTCTAGTTGGGAAAGATAGACAGAGAACAAATAAACAAGAAAATAGCAGGGAAGGAAACATGCTGTGAAGACATGGTATGACAGTGTCTGGTATGGGTGATCTTGAAGAATGTGCATATATCTTTTTAAAGACTGAATATTTCATAAAGCATCTCTCCTTTGCAACAGAAAGTGACTGCTCTGTAGATATCATTAGTTTTCCTTCTGTATTTGGGGCTAGAGTAGTTTTCTTTGAGTCTGCCTCTTCACACTGGGAATTCCCTGAGTGATAATACCTGCTGCATCATATGTCTGCAGTGCATAAGCTGTAGGGTAAGGAAAAATGTCAGGCTTTTCTGCCCTCCCGCCATCAGGACAGATGATGGATCCTTGTGGTCCCGAATGCCTGCCTGATGGCGGACACCTGGAGTAGGGTGTGGGCATAGGTAGATGGGATTCACCTGGGTTGAGACTGGGCTTTTAAGGGCGGTGTCACGGGGACGCCAGCAGAAGCCGAAAGAGAAGCCAAGAAAGAAGCAGCAGAAGCTGAATGAGAAGCAGAGAAAGCCGGAGAGCTCGGATAGAGTGAAGACTTGCTGGGGGTGGGAGGCCTACCAGCCTCCTGGCCCCCCAGCACCCCTGCCTGCCATATGCCTGGTGAACCCCAATAAAAGGCCTGCAAAAGCCCCTAAGGACTCTGACTCCTCCTTTACCCGGTCTGCTGGATCATAGAAAACCTGCACTGTGTCCTGTCCTGCCCTTTACAATATCACACAGAATTTGACATACTGGAAGAAGTGAGACACCATGGGTAAGAGCATGATCTTTATAATTCATTTGTCTGAGTTCAATTCTGGTAAAGTACGTACAGTGGGAA